CGTGTGCTTATGCACAAAACAATTAAAATAGCAAACAAGTGTGTTCCACAAATAAACAGCTTCAGAAGACAGGCAGCGTGGGTATTATCTGAATTTTACCAAAAAGGAAAGGGAAGCTCAGAATAATAAAAGACTTATACTTACTCTGTCAGTAAATGGAAGAATTATATAGAATTCAAGCCTACCGTGTCCTGGCTCCTAATACTTTTTGTATCAAATCTGGGAAAAAGGGGGAAGGAAAGAACAGGGAACAAAGGAAGAAGAGAGGAAAAAGAGAGTTTATTTTGCTCTCCACCGTACACAACTGCCTCTCCTTTCCTTGAGCAGAAAAAGAATATTAACTTAGTAAAGAAAGAAAAGTGCCATTTTGATTTGTTTTACCTTTATTTTTGAAAAAACACATTGGTTGTATAGACCAGTAAATGGTATGGTTGTATGGACCAGTAAATGTTATGTTCAAATTAATAATGATGCATGAGACCATTCTACTTCTCTTTGAAAAAGATTCTTTTTCTTGGCTCCACCCATTCATTCTCCAGATGCTCTGGGAGGTCAGTACACACGGGAAACACTACTCTTTTTCCCAGGTGTCGTTGCTTTCGTCTTCTCACTCATCCCTTAAGCATCAGGAAGGGGCTGGCTTCTCACATCCTCTTTCTGTTTGACTGGGACTTCCCTGAGCACTCTGTTCCATCCCGAGATGGCTTCCCTCTTACCCTTTCCTGGGGTTATGATGGTGGTGGTCGGAGAAGAAACTGAAGGGTTAAAGGAATAAAAATCACATTTATTTATTTATTTAGTTAGTTAGTTAGTTAGTTAGTTAGTTAGTTATTGTTTACAGGTTAACCACATTACACTTAGGCATCGACCCTAAATCATACAGCCCTATGTATTCATTTTTTAATGCTATGGTCATAAGTTACCACAAACCTCTGAACTTAAAAGAGCACAGATATGTTATCTTACCATTGTGTAGGTCAGAAGTCCAGTATATCCTCACCAGTCATCATATATCATTCTAGAAAACTTTTTTCAGTCTCTTTTTCAATTGGGTGCAGCCACGTGATTGATGGTTAGCCAATGGTGACCCCTAAAATTCCTCCTGCACACGCACTGTGCTCTCTTTGGCCTGGTCTGCCGGCAAGGTGCAGGGGAAGTCAAGAGGTCACGGGCAGGCTGAGCTCCACTGGGCAGGCTCAGAAGAATTTATTTCCTGCTCATTCTAATCATTGACAGATTCAATTTCTTTCAGTTAAAGAACTGAAGCCACCATTTTCTTTTAAGAACTTTGAGAGGCCACAGGCTCTCCTTGATTACTGATTCTTTCTTCTACCTTCCAGCACAGCCTTGGTAGGTTAAGTCCTCAGACGGCAGCTCTCTGTCCCACTGTTGCTTTGTCATTTTCCACTTTTAAGGACCCCAGCGACTAGTTTGGGCCCACCCAGATAGTCCAGGATAATCCTCTTATGTCAAGGTCTTTATTAATCCTATCTGCAATCTCCTTTATCAATGTAAAGAGACATATTTAAAGATTCTGTGTTGCCCTGGCTGGTTTGGCTCAGCGGTTAGAATGTTGGCCCACGGACCAGAGAGTCCCGGGTTCGGTTCCCGCTAAGGGCACGTACCTCAGTTGCAGTTTGTCCCCGGCCCTGGTTGGGTTTGTGTGGGTGGCAACCACTCAATGTGTCTCTCTCACATGGATGTTTCTCTCTCTCTCCCTCCCTCTTTCCCTCCCACTCTATCTGAAGATAAATGCAAAGATGTCCTCAGGTGAGGATAAATAAATAAAAAGCTGTTTCTAAAAAATAAATAAATATTCTGTGGATTATGATGAGGACATCCCTTGGGGGAAGGTAGGAGACAGTATTCTGACTACCACAAGGAAAGTAAATGATTAAGTTAAGAGTCTATAAATTTACTTATGTAATCAAAAGTAACAAAAAAATACAGGGTGGGGCAAAAGTAGGTTTACAGAAGTTTGTATATAAAATGATACCATAACAAATAAATAATAATTTAAGAATAAACTGTGTTTCTCTTACTGACAACTATAAACCTACTTTGCCCAACCCTGTATAGAGACATTTTTCTTTTTCTCAATCATCATAATTTATAATTACATTAGAAGACCTAAAGCACAACTGGTATGCTTACCTTCTTGTAACTCATTAATTTTATGCTAATTGATAGATACCATGTTTTTCATTAGATTATCAAGTTAAAAATATATAGTTAATTTAATATCAAGAAATCCAGAAGTGTAATAAATAGTCACCACTCAAGAGGGTGTGTCTTTCAGAAATCTGAAGAATGGAGGCAGAGGTATGGATAATTTTTTTTTCCAGATTTACCCCCCACTGATCAAACTACTCTCTAGGAAACAGTCATGTAAGATCATACATACAATGTTATCTGCATCGACTAGCAAAACTAAAGGCCAACCTAAAAAGCGAATCCCAGAAAAGAAGGCCGAATTAAGTAAACAAAAACAAAAAACCCATAACATGGCCTATTCGAGGGTAAGGTTTATATCAGGTTCAGTGCCTAGTTTTTACCACTATTGTATACACAGCACTAAGCACAATGCCTAAAATATAGAAAGTATTAAGTATTAAGCATTAAGCTCACATTAATTATTTTAATTAGAAGTAAGCAATGTTTATAGACTTTTCTATGTACAAAATACAGTATAAAACATCCCTCATGTTTTCTGTAATTTTTAGAGCTTTTAAAATAAATTATTTACCTAATAGTGATATGTAACACATTGCTAAGACCTGGTAATTAAACACTTGGCATCAAGGAAAATGAGAGAATTTTTCTCGATTATTTGCACTAAATCATTATCAATCTGACAGTACTTACTTATATGTTTTTTTAAAGTAAACACTTATTTCTGACTCGTTGATCCCAAGAGAGCCACAAAAAAGAACACTTTACATAGGTGTACAGTAAACAATAATAGAAAAAAAAAAAGATCATAGGTATTATGGTTTTCATTCATTTTTAGTATGTAAATTGTGTGGTATATATTGACAATATTATGCAAGTAATTAGAAAAGAACTAAAGTAGCTATTGAAAATGTTCTGAAATATGCCCAGCTGGTGTGGCACAGTGCTTAAGCATCGACCCACGCATCAAGAGGTCACCAATTCGATTCCCGGTTAGGGCACATGTCCAGGTTGTGGGCCAAATCCCCAGTGGGGGGCATGCAGGAGGTGGCCAGTCGATGTTCTCTCTCATCAATGTTTCTATCTCTCTTTCCTCTCTCTATAAAAATCAATAAAAGAAAAAAAATTGAAAAAAAAATGTTTTGAAACAAATCTTGTTTAACTATTTAAGCTATTGAAAGTTGATTAAGTTATCTTGTGAGGTAATTAGCTCCATATAACCAAGATTTTCAAGTGATGAGCTGTATTATTATTATTTTTAAATGTTTTTTCTTTATTGATTTTAGAGAGTGTGGGAAAGAGAGGGAGAGATGGAAACATCAATGAGAGAGAATATTGAAGAATATTGACTGCCCTTCTCCTGCTGCCCCCCACTGGGGATTTGGCCCACAAACCGGGCATGTGCCCTGACTGGGAATCGAACTGGTGACCTCTTGGTGCATGGGTCAACACTCAACCACTGAGCCATACCAGCTGGGCAAAGAGCTGTATTTTGCTTGTCAAAAAATTGAAGCGGAATTCTGACGTTTGGTGGGAGAATAACTTTTAAGACTCTCCCATTCCTAAAGTGTTTGACTGCTGGTAACGTTCTGTTTCTTGATCTGTGTACTTATTGCACTTGTAATCTACATGTCTAATATCGTTCACTTATAATATGTCCTCTTTATGACATGTCTATTATATCAATTTAAAAAATCTAACAAATCTATAAGTCAATTACCTTTAACTCTGAGACATTATTTAATTAAGCTTCTTTTTTTTTTTTTTATCCTCACCCGGGGATATTTTTCCATTTTTTGTACAGATAGAGTGGGAGGGAGAGGAAGGGAGAGAGAGAGAGAAACATCGATGTGAAGGGACACATCAAGTGGCTGCCACCCGCACGACCAACCAGGGCCGGGACAAACTGCAACCGAAGTACGTGCCCTTAGCGGGAACCGAACCCGGGTCTCTCAGGACCGCAGGCTGATGCTCTAACCGCTGAGCCAAACTGGCCAGGGCTAATTAAGCTTCTTACACCTATCTCTATCTTTGTCAAGTAAACACAAAACTTCTCTTAACTCCAAGCCAGTTAACATGATATGCTCAAAGTTCTACAGCACCTCCTGTTAAAAGTTCGATTTGATAGTACTAAGTGGTGGCAATAACAAATCAACTTAAAATGGTTCTTCTTTTCAAAGAAATAATTTATAAAACAAACTATAAGGCCTCTTGTAGGAGTTTTTAAACTTCATTTTTAATAATAAAGTTTTTTGTCTCATACAATATTTGACACAGAGAATATACGACAAACATAGACCATCACATACAAAGCTGCTCTAGGTAAAATCAGAGTAAAGAAGTGAGAGACACACTTATTCTTGGCATCGTCAGCCTTTCCTCTCCTACCGTCAGCCTTTCCCAGAAGGACCACTCTGAGGCGAGGTTGGGTCAAATCACTGACCCAGTGCGCTCTGCCTCGATGAACAGAAAATACACCAAACTCTGGAGTGGGAGAGGGTCTTACCCAAACTAAACACCTAGCAAATCAGTAAGCTAATAAGACCTAGCTTTTCATCGAGGCTGTTTGATTTTGGATGAATTATTTAATTTCTCTGAGCCTCAGTTTCTTCAGATGTAAAAAGGAGGTGGGAACACCTACTTTCACCCATGGTGAAAGGATAAAATACAGTGTCTGACTCAGAGTAGGTGCTGATGATTGATAACTGTCATGGTTATTCATTCCAACTCTCAAAGAAAGCTCCCAAATCTGCATGAAATAAAAAAGCAAAAGTAACCATTAATAACTTGAACTTTAGCTTAAAAATGTTCTTTTTGGTTTGTTTCAGGAAAGCAGTAGATCATCCAAAAAGGCGATTCGGTATCCCCATGGATCGGATTGGTGGAAACCGGCTTTCAAATTCCAGAGGCTAATTGATTCCAGTCGTGAGTACAATTTGAATATGTAACAATACACACAAGCTTTTAATTTATATTTCACAATGGGCTAATTGATCCATCTTAGTTTATAAATCACCTTTTTGATTTCCTAGTTTATAAAATCACATTTTCAAACATTTCTGTACTCAAGTAATATATTGATGCTAAATAATTTGAATGACATTAAAGAATCAAAGGAATCCTCTACATCTAATTTACCCTAAATAAAATGATTTAGGTATTGTCATAGACTCTGATGTAATTATTGAATATTAATATTCAAAGTTTAAAATTCTAATTAGCATAATAAGTTACCTTCACAAATATATATAATATGTAGCAATCCCTCTATTATGTAAAAGACACATTCCAGTGACAGTTACCATTTTATTGCAAATAACATTACCAGAATTATGATAATGTGAAACACAGCGGGAAAAGTATTAGCCATGGAATTGGAGCATACAATCCAAATCCTGGTTCTGTCATTCATTAGCTTATTTCTATCAAGATACTTTATTTCTCTATAGCTTGTACATTTAGATAACACAGTGATATTGTGAAGAGTAAATTAGATGCTAGAAGGTATTGGACACACAATACATGCAAGTGATAACAGTTTATAATACAGTTCTGAAAATGTACTCTGTGGTGGGCCCTATACGTAGTGTAAAACATGCATCGCTTCAATGAATCATCCTCTTCCATGAAGTGGGTGCTATTCACTATCTCCACTACTATCTTGAGAAGCCATCAGGCTTTGTGGGTCAAATCCCAGGTTATCGGTTAGCTGGGAGACCTTGTTTAAATTCTGCTATCCTCCTCCTTAAAACGGGAATTATAATCATTTCTACTACATTGCATTGTTTTGAGGACTAAATGAATTGATGTACATTAACCACTTAGAGTAGGGTCTGGCACATATTAAGTACTCAATAATCATTAGTTATTGTTATTATACAAATAAGTGGAAAGCCACATAGCTAGTAAGTGATGCAAGTGGAATTCAAATCCAGAAAGCTTAAATCCTGAGCTTTCTCTTAAACAATATATTTAATCATACACAGTATATTATTAAACACTAAATATTAGTTCATCTAAAGCCTTGGGTTTGTATTTTCTCCCACTAGACTAGAGCTTAGAGAGGGAGCATTTTCTCTCCCAAACAGATAAGACAGTCTGAGACTGCTTTGACAATTTCAAAACACAGAAAAGTCTTCTTTTTGCTTTTCTCAAGATAACCCTCAAATCTATGATGTCCAGGCCCAAAAAGCATCACATTAGTGCTGACCCTCTCCTAATTTAAATCATGCAATTTTTTTCTCCTCATCAAATGCACTACCTCAAAATTAAGTCAGTATTTTACCTCAACTTTCTTATTTTCAGAATGACTTGGTGAAAACATATTTTTCTCTATGGGGTCATTGATCAGTGAAATTATGAGATTACTGTGTGTTTTTATAAATACAGGAGGAATAACTGAATTCTTCCAAGAACACTGCCTGTTGGGTGTCACCATCTTCCAATCTCACAATGAACGTTGTATCTAGCAATATGCCAAATAGAATCACTCTTCAGAGCTGTTAAAAAATCACCATGTTTTATTTGAGTAGGAACCAGTTGCTATTAAAAATCAAGTAACTCCTTGAAATCAGTCACAATCTTCCAGTTTCTTGATGTTATGATGCTGAGATTAAAATAATTAAGTTTGATTGGTTTCCACGTGTACCCTATTACCATTGATTATCGCCCATTTTAGTATTTCTGAATTCAACCAAAACAGGTTATGATAAAAAAAAATCATACAGGAAACTAATTTTTTATATAAATTTTCATATGAAGGTTTAGACCATAAAAAGTCCAGATAGCTACTACACTATGAAAAGGGACTTGAATTAATATAACGTTTACAGAATCACTGTTGAGTAAAATTCAAATTAGTATATATGCCCTTCACTTAACACTGTTGAGTGTCATGACAACCACTGTCCTTATTATTAAAATCTTGAGAGAGTCATATCATGAAAAAGTAAAGAAAAGAACTGAACATCATACATTTTCTCTTTCCCTTTTGTCAATCATTGTGGGTTCACCTGCTCAACCATTATGTTTATAGTCCTTATTTCCTGCCACTATCACCAAGATTTCTCATATATTTTTTGACTTCCTCATGTGAAGTTTCAAGTTTGATAGTTCATGAATAATAAAATACATAAATATATATTTGTAATTCCCATTAAACTTTTTAAAATTATTTTTTGGCATATTACTTTCTTTTGTCACTATGATCTTTTGGCTTAAATAGAAGATGTAATGTGTGTATCTGTTAATAGATAAGAGTCATTGCAGTAATCTCAATGATTTAGTCATGAAATTAAGCATTACAAATTCAAGAACATGAAGTCTCATTTAATCTAACCTTTTTTTTTTTTTTTTAACAAATAAGAGCACAGAGAATGTGAGAGGAAATTGAATTGCCCCAAATTTTACACTCTCACCAGAGGACATTTTTACATTTTATCTTCAGACAGAGTGGGAGGGAGAGAAAGAGAGAGAGAGAGAGACATCAATGTGAGAGAGGCACATCAATTGGTTGCTTCCCACACGACCCCAACCAGGGCCCGGGACAAACTGCAACCGAGGTATGTGCCCTTGGCCGGAATTGAACCCGGGACTCTTTGGTCCACCGGCGGAAACTCTAATCACTGAACTGGCCAGGGCTATTTGTGGGTTTTTACCTTTTGTGTTTCATTGTAAGTATTCACACTAAAAGTGAAACTAGTGCTAATCGTGGAAGTTTTGCTTGGTTTAAGATCAAGTTTAGAAACAGCTGATATGTGTTATTTGGTTTTCAGAAGAAAAAAAAAAATGCTAATCTCTTCCCTGATATGTGTTTTAGAAAGGACAATAATCTGATATTTACACAATATTCTCCTGAAATCGTTAATCTTTGGACCAAAGATTTGAATTTTTAATAGGCCTCAGTTCTAAGCAATTCAAATTCAGAGAGGTATTTTGTCTCGATTTCATAGACTGTGTACACGCAAGTAGTAAGTTCCAGGTCTCTGCCATTGAAATCAGGATGCCTACTTAATGCAATCTGGTAGAAATATGACCATTAATTGTGCTCCTCTTTGCTGCCACATGCATTAAGACTTAATAATGTAAGGCATATGTTGTTGCATTATACTGGCAATTTTTATCTTAGAACAATATTGACATGCCATCATTTAAACAAATTAACATAACAGAAACATCACATTTAAATGCCATTATGTGGTGGAATCCTTTAAACAGAGCAAAATGGACAACTATCAATGTGTTGTCATAACAATAAACAGAAAGAATAGTCAGATTTTCTTATCTTTCTTTCATTTGTCATGGCAATATCCTTTGAACCCAGATTGAAACCTCAAAAGAAATAGATTACAGCAGGTACCCAAACAAAGGAAGCATGGCAGGACACAGGCACCTAGTTTATACATTTAAAATGCTCTTTTTAATACATTCAATCAGAAATTATCATGCTGTATGCTGTTTTGCAATAAAAATATGCCACAAAATAAAAGACATAGTGAAACATCAGATAATTAGTTTTAGCTCTTCTCAACTGCAATTGGTGGATTTCCCCTTATCTACAGAGTTCTTAGTATTAACCATTTCAACTTTCATTTTTGCAGACACACTTCCTTGGGTGAAATGTCACAGAAACATGGAAGATGCTTCAGTTCTTCACACTCAGTGATTAAACTTTTAAGGAACTGGCCCTCTGCAAATTCTTCCCAAAATTTGAACTTAGGTCCATCACATCACAGTGTTGTTACAGTCTCTGGTAAACTATGCAGATCATTTCAATTCATTGATATTTTAAAATATACATGTTAGTTGTTCAGGAATGGTTATTTGGCCCCAAACCTTACTTTTCTAAAAACAGTAAAAAAGCGCAATGTGTGAAATTCTTTCTATATGTATTTACTATTTACATTTATGCAGATGAAGAATAACTGAAGGCTAATTTGTTTCTGTAAAATGTAGGTGCAATCTGTTCATTAATGGGGAACAAAAAAAAGACAACGCTGTGTGTTTTCTCTTGAATGCTTTCACTTCTTTCTTATCCTCTGTCTGTGGGCCCCTTGGGTAATAATTATGAAATTTGACTTCCCATCTTATATTCAAATTTCAATCATTTTCAATTAAATACAACTCACCCCCAGTTCTAGAAATAAGAGTAAAATAATTTCTCTGAGCAAACAAAAAACAGCAGTAATTAAGCCCATAAATTTTAGGTTCCCAAAGAACTGAGAAAATACCTGCAGGTCAGAACATATTGACTTGGAGGTAGGAAATGAAGGATATTGCATGTTTGTCAAGCTTGGATACCCTGTGTCCCCTAATACCTTTCCATCTCTCAGTCACAACTGATAGCTAATTAAGAGCAGCAGTAGCTGATTATGAAAACAGCTACACACAGAAGTAACAGATGAAAGTATGGGGAAGACAAAGAATATCAAGTAGTAGACCACCAGAGCAGTCTGGGGCTGGTCAAACACACATAATTTTAGCACAGTTAATTTTAACATAGTACAATAAGTGATCTTTTTTATAATACTGACTCACCTAAGAAACTGTTTAATCTGTTTCATATACTGTGTTTAGTAAGGCTTTAAAGAGTATAATGTATTTGAAAGAGATTTCTTTAAAATGATCCAAATTATTTTTAACTGACCTAGCAAAGCATTAAGTTTGATATTCTGGAAACCTTGATTCTCAGCAATAACTGTGATGGCACTGTAATTTAAACATTATGCATTGGGTATACTTTCAAAACACAAAAGATAACTTATTCATGGACCAGAGATTTAGCGTAACTTTGGAGAAGTTTATAAATTCTCTGAAAAACACTTCTTAAACTCTGGTAATCACTGCCAAACAGGCCTGATATGGGTGAGGAAAAATGTTTGGCCAGGAAAGCAGTTTTATTTTAGCATAAAATG